ATCCATCTAGTAAAAATAACCAGATATCTTTGAATATTGGCACTTGAGGAATAAGGACTACCATTGCTTGTCATGTGAACTCAACCTATTCTTACATTTATCACTTAGCATTCTCCTTTTACTTAACCAACGGCAAACATCAAATTATACAAATAAACACTCTGCTAAACATTTCTAGACTAATCCAAGAACACATTTTACTGTCCAATTTGTGACGTTCACTTCGCCAGCTCTCCTATCTGTGCAAGTTTGCTAGAGAGAAGCACAGGACCATTCATTAATTAATTGGTTTCGTTAGGCCCCCGTCTCATGTTGTTTCACTGCAGATCTTTCAACTTCTTCAAATACTAACCAGAATTAGATTTTACACCATTTCACAAGGCAAACACAAAGTTCAGTCACTTTCTTACATTGAATGTACTAATGCTACATTTGCCGGATTTTGTTTTGAGAAAAAATAAAATTACCATTATTACTTCACTTTCCTTACAATACTGTACTTTTCCCTAGTATAATTACCCACTCAATATATATACAAACTTAAAAATGGGCTGTATCAATAGATACTCATAAAAATGCTTACAATCAAATTTGTCATTACTCTATACATTCCAGAGTGATTATTAATCTAACCTGATCACTTATTACAGCGATGTGAATTTCATTTTACTTTCCATCCACCTGCAGATGTTACGGCAACAGACTTTTCATCCTTTGAATAATCAAGTTGGTGTTAGTTTAACTTCACCACGAGGCTTGACAAACAATGCTTTGATTCTTTTAGCATATCTTTCATACGGCCTTATGAAAATATGTCTGTCTCTGTCTATGTCAGTCTCTCGCTACATGCAAACACTAACACATACACCTGCACACACGCACCTATGAACGCACAAACGCAAGCTTGCTCTAATGACAAAATAAAAACTCTACATTAAGTCCTCAGAAGAAAGGACATGTTCTAATCATATCTGCTGACCAACATATTTGACCCACATATTGTAACACACACATACAATACACACATGGGTTTATAAAACCTAAGCATGCTACATAGGATGCTTTTCTTTCATACGAATTGTGACTTGATTCCAAGTTATCACATTTGGTAATATGGCTAGAGGAGAGCTCGGTAAAATACAGCTAAAGGGATGATTTAAATCTTAAAAAAAAAAGAAGACATTTGTGTAATTGCAACTTTGCAGTGAAAGAGCTGACCTCCCATCACTGCATTTGTTTAATCTTCTGAGAAACACACAGAAGGTGATCTCAAACTCCAAACTTCAGTTATCTCTGTTCTTCCTGACTGTGAAGAAATCAACAGGATATTGCCACTCAAAAAAAAGAAAAAAGAAAAAAAGAAAAAAAAGAAAAAAAAAAAATCGGTAATTGATGAACATTATTGTATTCCTTCCAGCTGCATAATTACCTTCAGCTTTTCACAAAAAAAAAGAAGGAAAAGAAGTGGAAAAACAAGTCTTCAGCACAGCATCAATATTTAAGCCTGAAGCCTAACATATGGCACTAGTATCAATATTTGTAGGAGCAAACAGTGTGAACAAGTATAATAATCCTGGTGCATTAATATCAAATCTTACCTACCCCTATCGTAACCCATTACTATTATGCTATTCCATGACACATGGCCTTGACTACTTTGACAAGAGGAGAGAAAAAATCTCTGTCACTCTTATAACCTCTCAGTATGATTATGCTGATACTTTCCAAGTACTTCTCAAAATTGTTTTTAAAAATTGTGTTTCGACATTTCTTCCTCAAAATCAAGAAAACAGACATTTCTAGTAACTACAATAGTACAAAAGGTGACTTGTACAATAGTATCATTCCAATATGCAGAAGAAAAAAAGATTTAGAAATTTTAAAAAGTAAACCACATCAGCACTAAAACATACTGGTGGTTTGCTGCATCTATCAAATCTGCTGTCTAACCTGTTTTTATTGGATTATTAAAAATCATATACAATATAATTTTTTTTTTTTTTTTTCCATTCTAATCTGTTCAAACTCTGACTTTGATTTGAATAGTAACATTTCTACCTAAAGCAGTAAAAAATGGAAACAAAATACAACTGAATATTAAAATGTTTCATTTTGGAATAAACTTGAAAGGACAATAATGAACAGCCATATATTTTTAAAAACTGCTTGGTTTTAATCTTACTTAAAAACAGATCTAAAATCTTTCCCAAACTATGAATTCTTTCAACACTGGCTACAGAGATTACGCAGAAAGATATTCAAGGTTATTCTCATGTAGACCCAAAGTATTGTCCTAGAAATGTCCTTTCAACATTCAACTTTCTGAATTAGATATCTTAGAAAGTATTGTCTACTACATAATAGCTTATAAACATACAATTTTGAGACCAGAATAACAGGTAACAGTTACTAGTACTACAATCAATCGTTTGACTGTTTGCAAAGAGTGAAATTTTTTTATACATAGATGGCACCTATCAGTACTTCTAAGTGTTGGCAGTAATTTACTGGTACAGTGTAAACGTACACTATATATACACATCTGCTTTGTATATATTATCACTTCACTACCACTGCATATAAAACTCTTTAACCTTATTTTCTGAATTTCACTTTCATTCTCATTATTTGAAATTATTGTGGTTATCCAAACACACAGTAATTATCTAAAATAAAGCAGAAAAAACTGTCATTTCACTAAATGTCAATATAAGTTGCAGAATTCTTTTTATGTTGGAAACGCTGATCTGTGGGGCTTATGGGAGCTAAGACTTTGACCCAGTGGGCCGGCTTGTGTCGAGGGCCCCTAAGGGGTCGGACTGTAGCAAGCCAGTCTTCTCCTCGTGGTTGATCGAGGTTGAGGCTCCCTCGCTGTACAGGCTGTCGTAGACTGGATTTTTGAACGTGTTCGGCTGCTGCAAGGGAAAAGAAAATATATATTTATTTAGATAAGATAAAGAGTCCTTATCCACTGGGACAGACTACATAAAACAATAATCTGAATGAAAATAAATACCCAGGCTATTCAGGTAACAAAACTGTATGACAAATTGTAAAATATCATCAATAAAATCTCCATGATGAATGTAATATCACATATGACCTTATCAAAAAACGCTATAGAAACTGCTCCTATATCTATTACTTTGAGATAAAATACATGTAATAAGAGAAAATTTCTTCACACTTTGCACCTTCCTCTCATTTACAATAACACTTATAACATGATCTGAAATAAGTAATGCAACAGAGGCCCCTCATTTTTACACATACATACCTGTTGCTGAACCACTGTCACTTTTGACAGCCTCTCAGATAAATGCTGCACTTTATGGATAACAATAACCCTGTTTGATTTATCAGACAAAGGTATACATTTGTAAAAAAAAAAAAAAAAATGGAGAGATTGTTGTCAAACACATAGAGAGAGAGAGAGAGAGAGAGAGAGAGAGAGAGAGAGAGAGAGAGAGAGAGAGAGAGAGAGAGAGAGAGAGAGTGTGTGTGTGTGTGTGTGTGTGTGTGTGTGTGTGTGTGTGTGTGTGTGTGTGTGTGTGTGTGTGTGAGAGAGAGAGAGAGAGAGAGAGAGAGAGAGAGAGAGAGAGAGAGAGAGAGAGAGAGAGAGAGAGAATGCAAAGTTGTATACTAGAACAAAAATGGAAATCCATACAACAAATCAAGAACAGATATTCATCAAAGTCAATAAAATGAAGGAAGGGGCTAAATTCTCTACTATAATTGGATCAGCTAGAACAGTGCCACAGCCAGAATAGGGTCTGTTAACTTATCATTTACTGCAGAAGAAATTTATTGGTGAATGACTACTGCAAATAATACAGTCATGCACTGCATAAGAGAGAAATGTCAAATCTCCTTCCACAATAGGTACCACCCCACACTCCTTCCTAGTATCCTGTCTTCACCTTTGGGGCTGGCATAATGTAATGCCTGTACCTTTCCTAGAACAGGGAAGAGCTGAACTAAATTCAAAGAGCTTTTACCATAACTACATACCTTTACAGAAAAAAAAGACTCATCTCGGCAAACTAAGTTCACCTTCCTACGACTGCTATGAAGTGATTGGAATTGAAAGTTCAAGATAAGAAAGGGCACATAGTTGCACATCTTTTAAACTTCATCAGATTGATGGTAATTGCAGGATTCAATATAGAGGTTCTGCATATGGAGCCTAAAGAGGTACTTCAGGTGCATGCATCTATTCTGCATACATATATATTTTTTGTGCAAATATATATAATTCTTTGAGTAACTGTCCTAATCTGTCATATCATGTGGTGTCATCTAGAAGATACTGATACCTTGCAGCGCCAAAGTCTCTTAGAAAGACTTTGCACCAAGGTTACATTATGTACTGATTCTTGGAGAGCAATATCTATGAAGGTTTCTGACTTACAAGTAATATTTTGAACCATAAAACCTTTAAAACAATTTCCCCTTCCACATTACTTCTTAGGGTATATACAAAAGACATACCCTAAATCTCGGATCAACTAATAATAATACCATGGGGTAATCATTGCAGACTCCATTGACCTTCGTTAGAAGTTGCTCAACCAAATTACAGATGCATTAAAATCAAGGAATACCAGATAGCATCTTTGTATTTCCATCACATCTTTACTGTTCATTTTCTTAGGGTAGGTCCAGTAATAGGGTGGTTACATGCAGTGGGTTTTCCCGATGTTACAAAAGCACTTACACCGCCCGTGAAACTGACATACGCCATAGGAAGAGACCTAGAGAAAATTGTTTGAGGGTTATAACAAATGTAGATAGAATCATTGCAAAATCAAAGGTGTTGAATATATACACAAAGCAAATAAGCTGAAGTGCAGAAAATGTGAACACAGAGAGAACTGTCCAATGCAAAAATAAAATCTGGATTTATTAAAAGTTTAAAGAAACTTGTAATGGATCTTGAAATAATGACATATGAAGTGTCATGTAAAGTTTGAAGAGTAAATTCTACTTTCGTGAATTAC